CATGATGCATCCGAAGAAGTGGGTTGTAGCCCACGAAAGCTTATGCTCTAATAAATTTGTTAGTCTCTAAGGTGCCACAAGTACTCCTGTTCTTTTTATAATAGGATAGATATTTCCTGATTCTGCCTCACAGCATAGACATTGGGAATGAGCTCTAGTCCTGGTGTGAACTTGAAAACTTTCAGCATTATGTTTGAAGCATACATAAACACACTTAATCTAAAGGAAAAATAATTTGTGTCAAGGCCAAGAGCGTCTGTAATTATCTAATGCCAACATTATTAAAGCAATAAATGAATTAATGAAGTCATTACATTCATCATTGTGTTCTGTACTGTAAATTCCTTCTAAAGCTCCTTTAATTCTCCTTCCTTTTTGATGGCTATGGGCAATTTGCTCCCATCCTTAAGTGTAAATTTCTGTCTTTGACAAAGGCAGCTCTTGAACTGCTCCATACATTTCACTGATGGATGATCCTGATTCAGTGGAGGTGTCTGGTAACAACAATAGATGTTAGCTGTTGCACCAGGAGAGCTACACAAAGTTATTTCTACCACAGCCATTTGAACTACACATTTGCTAATTAAAATCACTGTAGAAGTGACACATTTCTCACCCTTAAAATGCAGCAGGCTCAGTGCTAGACATTTAAGTGAATTACTAAGTATTCTTGACATTTTTTGCATTCTTTCAGAGCATTACATTACTGAAGAAACATATGGGAAGAGGATTTGTTGGATTTCCTTTGTGAGGAACACAAAAGTGGAAATGTTTTTATTGTGTATTGGCTTGATCCTAATGAGCATCCTCAATTCACATTGACTTCATCTGGAGCTGAGAGGGCTCACCATCTTGCAGCATGGAGCCTTAAATAGTCAGGGCGACTGGGGTCTTACAATCTGTGATTCTGTTTCAGAGGAAGTGTTGAGCTATTTCAATCTACTGCAGCTTGCCCAGGTTTTCAAAGAGAGAATACACTAGTGGGTATTACCTGTTGTGAATTGGGTAAGGTGGGATTCAGGAGAAACCTTACCACCTTCTGCTTCAAATGCATTTGTTTGACCTTGCCTTCTCTAACATAATCACATAGCAACATGTATATTACCCCCCACCCCCAAAACATAAACCCTACCAAAACAAGACAGTCCACTGTACATTTTTCTCCCCCAGGGGAGGATGAGAGAATAAAGAACATGTGACAGACATATAGCCACGCTGCTTACTGCGCTTCTGGAAGGTGTTCAGGCACTGCAGTGATGCGTAAGGGCTTGTCTACACTTGAAACACTATTACAGTGCAGCTGCAGTACTGCAGCAGTGCTGTTGTAGAGCTTCAGTGTAGATGCTACTTATGCCAATGGGAGGGGTTCTTCTGTCCGCATAGGTAATCCACATACTCCAGAGGCAGTAGCTAGCACTGTCGATTCCGGAACCTAGGTTGGCTTAACTACATCGCTCAGGGGTGTGGATTTTTCACAGCCCCGAGTGACATAGCTGGGTCAATCTACTTTTCCAGTGTAGCCCAGCCCTGAGGTATAAGAACCTGAATACAACAGAAATAGAATAGGGGTCAGGGAAACATATAGAGGAGTTGGGAGCAATGATTGCCTATTCACCCCTTTCCTTTTTCTCAACCAAAAGAATCCACCTCTTCCCTTTCAGAATAAAATTGGTGGGAAGCTATATTAAAGAGAATGAGGAGAGAAATGGGACTCCCCGCCTTGGTGTCCTCTTGGCTGGTTTCTCTCATTCCCAAACCCCTTCATTGTACTTTTTTAACCCTGTACCTGCAGATCCAGCTCTTAAAAAACCCCAAAACCAACTCCTCTGCTTAGAGTCCTTCCTTATTTCTTGCTCGTCTCCTTTTGCTTCAGAGCTCTCTCCTCTTCCATGGGTTTTCTGTTCTTGCAGAAAACCTGGTGAAATCTATGGCCTGTGATAGGCAGGTCAGACGAGATGACGATAATGGTACCATCTGGCCTCGAAGTCTATGAATTTTTTATGCTTTTGTCTTATTTTCTTAACTTTCTCCTTTGCTCAGACCTCCTTTCGCTTTCTAGTCTTCAGTCAACTCTCCCTTTTCTCTCTCCTCCTACTTCTCACACTCCTATCTCCCCCCTCACATTCTCTTTGTCACACTCATTCAAACAATCTCTGCTACATGCATGCTCACTCACTGGACCAAATTCAAAGGTGATACTTAACTTAGACCTGCTCTACCCCTTCTTACTAACTAGACTTTTTAGGCTTGATTCTCCACTGGCTTACCCCGTGTAGTCCTTTGCACAACCGCAAAGTGGATGCAAAATGTTACCACTTGTGCGATTCTGATTTGACTACACAAGGTGTAAGGCAGTGGAGAATCAGACAGAGTCCCTTAAAGGTACTTGTGCACACTCTGGTGATATGTAAAGGATATTGCATTAGTGTAATGTATATGCCAAGGAGTCAATAGAAAGCGTGAAAAGTCATAACTTTCAGTTGCTTGGGGGTCTTACTACACCATTTTTCTGGCCCCTTGGCATCTTAAGTTATTCCAATGCTGACTTTCTTACACTTTAAAAAACCCCTAGCATTGACAATTCCAGGATTAGACAAAAAAGGGATGGATGGTCCAACTTTTGACCATCGTAGATTTGAAAGTTGAACTTGAATCCTAGAGTTACTGGTGTTCAAATTCCACTAAGGAGATACTTACTGTCTATAGAGCACCCATTTGAGCCAGCCTTAACTTGATGAGGTACTTTTTTCTTCCCAACACACAGGCTAGGATTCTTTCTTCCTTGCCTTTTGTTGTTTTTTACTTTAACCTCTTTTTTAGGGGGGATGGGTTTAGATTACAGAAAAATAAATACGTCAGTTTAGACTAGTTTTCTGAACCCTCAAACTTAAAAAAAAAAAGTCAAGAGGTTCATGAACTGATCTCTAGTCAAAAATAATGCCATGGCACAGATAGCAAAAAAAAAAAGTTATTAACCTAAGAAAACAAACTCCCCAATGCCATTTCAGCAAGAGAGATGCTTAAGAACAAGTCGTAAGATTTTTATGAAGGGAAGAGTGTGTATATAGGTCCTGATCATGTTATGGAGTGAACTCAGGTGTTAAGGCTAAGCCCACACAGAGAGACCCAATGAAGTCATGGAATGGGTGAAGGTATATGCTTGCATGTACTCAGTTGCAGTAGTGTGGCCATTTTTTCCATATACACACAGTACTCAAAACCACTTAAAAATTTTCCATAAAATTCACCTTTGGGAACAGGCCAAGCATAAAAGATATGAACCTGAAAGGGAAGAGTTTCAGAAAATTCTGAATGAGTGAAAATGGGAGTTAGAATGGAACCTGTCATGCAACCTTGCTGTTTTTCATCCAAAATAGGGCACTTCATGCACCAAAATGCACCCAACTCTGTGGTGGCAGCCTCTTGGTTAGTTATATTTTTTTATAAAATGCATTGTGCTTGCAGAATATATTTGATAACATGTTTTTAGTCTTTATGGTATACGCTGTCCAGTTTTCACGCTACTTAAATATATACATAAAGCACTTCAAAATATTTGTCAGTCTAATATTTTTTAGAGCTGTTCACTCAAAAATCAAAGCACCTTGAGTGTTATTAATGGAACTATCTTATAGACTCAGATGTACAGAGTACTTTGCAACATATCTCAAAGTATCTACTTCTGTGTATGAATGTGAGGGGGCAGCAATGTACTTTTCAACGTATGTGATAATGAGATTGTGATCTGGTACAAAGATAGGATGCTCTTGCAGGTTGAAACTAAACTGGCTTAAATCAAAGGAATGGACAATGATCTTCTTCCAAGTAGAAGCAACAGAAACCCACACATGAGGAAAATCCATGTATTTAAAGTTCCTTATGTAACTTTTCCAATGTTCTCCAGAATCAAAGCTTTTATGAAAAATGTACCTCTGGTGCTGAAGAAAGCCATCATGCCATAAATCATCTTGTTTGTTCTGTAGCCAGACACACTGACACAATATAACACCAAGTGTGAAGCGTGAAATTCCCCCATTTGTCTTACTGGAGTGTAAACATCAAAGCCTAGCTTTGACTACCAAAAATTGCTTACATTTTTACACCACTTTGTCTAAAATAGAAACACACAGTTCTAGTCACAGAAACATTTAATGTCAGCCTACAGTTTAAATATGTTCATTTTTAAATGCGAAGTACAATTGGCTTCATCTTTAACTGGTAAATTCACATGTCAATATGTAAGTTTCTTTTACTCTCCCTAGTTAAAAAGTGAAATCACACTGGTTCCACTTGGTAGGTATTGCAGACCTCAGAGTAGCTGCTTGGAAAGACTTGTCTCCTGCAGCCCATAGAATGGGAGTGCACTCAAAACCAGGAAGGTTTTCTGTATATGTCTCGATTTTGTTTAAAATGTATTTTAATATATTATCAACATTAACCCTTGAGTGCAAGTCCTTTTTTTCCCCTAAGTAGTTAACTCATTCCATCAGCATATAGTGGACTACAGGCCCAAGGATTCTTAAACTACAGATCCAAAAGGGTTAGTGATAAAGGTCAACCAAACTCTAGCAACCCTTGACTGAGAAACACCCTGTCTGGAAAAACAGACACACAAAATCATAGTGAAACCATGGACTTTTCTTTGTTTTCCTTTGGTACCGCTGGCAAGCATTGGCCCTTTAGAACCTTTGCATTTCAGATCAGCTGCTAATAAAACTGAATCGCTTTCTTTCAGGAAGCCAGACAGTAACAGTTTTCTGGAGTATATTAAATAGCATTTATTGAGTCTGCAACCGCAGGGGCAGAGTTATTGTGCTCTCAGCCCCAGCTATTTGCACACTAGGATATGGAGCATTCGTAACATTCTTTCGCCCATTCAAAAAACACATGAATAAATGAAATAACATAAAAGGGGGTTTTAAACCTTATTTTTTGCCCTCAATTTTGTAAACAGAAACAGAATCAAAATCTTGTTCTTATTCACAAATACATCCCCTCTTCTCAAACTTTAATTATTTCTATTGAAGAAGGGGCCCGGCCTCCTAGTGACCGGGGCTGGTGTGGGAATGGTCCATCCTAATGTGGAGGAAACCAAGGAGAGCTCTCTAGTTCTCTACCAGATGGGCACAGGAAAAGATGGGTGGCTAATAGGAGGAGTGCATAGGTGTCTCACTGGGAGAAGACTCACATCTCAGGTTGTGGAGAGATCCTTAGTGTAGGGAAGCTTCAGTATCTTCAGTTGGGGACGAGCTGCCCTTCTTGGGAGGCCTTTGTATCTCAAACTGGGGAAGCTCTGTGGGTGCACGTGGGCAACAGACACTAAAAGCCTTCCCCAGAAAATCTTATGGACGAGGCTGTTTGGGCTTGCCACCTCGTTTTTAACTGCAGTGACCTCTGAAGTATAGGAAGAAAAGGCATCACGCTATATACACAAATACATATTTACAGACTACATGGCAAAAGAGGAAATTAGATACAGGGTCAAATATATGGCCATTAGCAAATGAAAAGGTCCCTTATGTGGATCTGGAGGTTGTTCAGAGTTCCTTTAAAACTGTCCTTTTCTTTGAGCATAAGTCCTTTTGTTTTGTAAATGAGCCAGAGCCAGCATGATATCTCATTGGGATAAACAGATGCTTGCTCTCACTTAAACCATGGTCATAACCTTTAGACTGGCAGGTTGGAATCTCCTAATCTTCTTCTTCAGTGCCTTTGAAGCTTTGATGCGACAGATTTTGGGCATGGGGGGAAGAGGCTTGGAAGAGGCCTGGACAGCTGCTGGCTGCCTGACAGAAGCTTCGGGCCAGACCAACTCGCTTTCATCGGCATCATCATAGTCAAGAGTGAGGCTGCTGCTATTGCTGCTGCCCTCTGAATCACTTTCACTGGACTCGCTGTCCCCAAAGCAGTTGGTTGTGTAATCACTGACCTCGCCTTCGCTGGTCTCTGCAATGGTGGAGTGGAAAAGGGAAGCACATTCAGCGGAGTATTCAGAATGGTCTGACTCGCTTTTGGCATATGTTCCATGGCGGTGATGCTTCGAACGTGCCCTCATGCTTACAGTACGCAGGACCCCTGCTCTCCTTACTGGCTGTCTTGGTGGCCCTAGGCCAAAGCCACTAGAGAGGCTGGCAAGGTGAGTCTTTGCTGAGATCTCCACAGTGGACTGCCATTTACGCTGTTTTTTCTTGGTGGCTGTGTCTATGTAAGCCGTTTCAAGAGAATACAGTGCATTAGCAGATGCCCGGTAAAGTTCAGGCCTGGATGGTGCTGGGGGGATTCGGAATTGCACGGGGAATAGGCTGGACTCTGAACAAGACCTGCCAGTAACCTCTCCAGCGTATGTAGATCTCCTGACAAGGCTCTTTCCTCCGTGCTGTTTTTGAGGCAAATTCCACTCAACAGGCAGCCTGGCAGCTCCATGGGCTCCCCTTGACTTTTCTGCACAAAGGGTCTGCTTCCCAGGCCTTAGCACCTTCTCACTGTTCCTTCTCTTAACCTTCACAGACTTCATTTTGGAGCTGGCAAACCTCACTCTGACTTGATGGGATTCTGCAGGGACAAACTGGGCGTGAACAAATTCACTCTGAGTCACTGGCTCATCACCCCCCGCATTAGCCAGCTTGAGGGTGCTGCACCTTCTGTTAGGCTTTCTGGGAAGGATAGCTTTAGTGTTCAAGATACCTGGACTAGAGACCTCGTAGCATATCTGTGAGCAGGAGGAACTGTGCTCCAGGCCTCTCCCCACTGCTTCTGCCAGAGCAGAGCCTCTGGCTGTTGACTTGGCAGGGTAACAACTATTTACAGCTGATGACTCTGGGTCAGGCAGGGTGGATGGCTGCTCTACATTCACACAGTGAACAGTCCCCTGCTGCTTGGCACATTCCCCTTCAGGCACCTCCCTCCGCAGTTTCCCTTCAGCTTTGTTACCTTCCAGAGAGCTCCCTTGTTTTTCCAGCTGGCTGCTGCTGCTGCTGCTAATTTTCACTCCACCAGTGCTGGGGGTTATAATGAGTCTCTGGGGCACTGTGGATGGCTGGCTCTTTGTTGAAACCCTCTCACTGGCATCTGCATGATTGTTCCCTCTGCATCTTGTCAGCTGCAGCAGTTTGTTGATATAACCCCCTGGCCTGGCCTCAATGACTGGCCTAGTCCTAATCAAGCTAGGACTTGTGACACTAGGCATGGGTTTACTGGGGGAAGAGTGGTTGTCTGTTTCCAATGGTACCCCCACCAGAGAAAAAAGTGGGCTTTGTAAAGCCACAGCATGAAGAGGGCTTGGGTAAGGATACACATCATTGCCGCTCTTGGAGACCAAGTCATTTTGGTATTTTGGGTCCACACTCTGGAACTGGAATTCCACCCCATGACAAAGCGGGGGCACGGATTTGGGGTCTGTCGTTTTCTGAAATCCAGTGTCTTCTGGTAGACGTCTTTCCAGGTCACCTGGATATCGAATGGAAATAAATCAAAGAGTTATATCACAGGTAATTTCTTCTATTGCCACACCTTATATTTCAAGGAGATATTTCAGAGACTATTTCATATCCTTTGTCATTAATGAGTATTTTAGTGTAATCATGACAAAAATAAGTTTTAATACCCCCAAGAACTCTGCATTTCTTTGTATTATTTTCTTGTTGAGACCATAAAAGTATGAGGAAAACATGCTTTAGAAACACACCCATGTAAAAACAATGAATGGTAAATGCAAAAGGGCAGATTCTCATTTCAGTTACACCAGTGTAAATCCTGAGTTACACGGCTGCTTTCAGTGGGTTTACACTCGTATATAATGATCGGAATCTGGACCAATGATTTTAAAAGCAAATGACTGAACCCATGTCTTACTTGAGGTTTAAACTGTGGTCACTTAAGAGAAATTAATGCTTGTGCCATTAAAATGTTTTAAAACTACACAGCTCAAAAGGCACTAAAAATAAAAAAAAGATTATCTCCCAAGAGAGATGTAAAAAGAATCCGAGTACCAGGAAGTCTAAAGTCAAATGTCATATAAAAAAATCCAGTAAAGTCTAGCAGAATTTGTTAATTCTTTCCTCTCAGGACCAGCTAGAGACTCTCTCAGGGTTAGGGCTTCCCATAGCAACTGAGGAAATAAATTCTTGAAATTCCCAGGAGGTAAACAGTTAATATTATTGGTTCTAATGGTTAACTTTGAATTCAAACTCCCCTCCCCATACTGGTTCATGTGTCTTTTGAAATCTACAGTCCTGAACCAACTGCTTTAACCGGACTTAATGGAGCTAAAGTCAAAGTGTCTCTTAATCCCTTCAGAGCTGGCAACTACTGCTGTGTTCTTTTACATTTTGCCTCAGTGAGACACTGCAGTGAGCACTAACACTTTAACTACACTGGAAAACCATTTAGATGCATTTTGCATTTTACAGGCTCACTCCTCCTCCCCCAGAATCCAATGAAACCTCTTAATTGGATCTTTTCCCTTCATTTGATAACAAAGTTGCAGAGGGTTGCCTTTCTGAAGTGAGTCACCCGCTGCATTCGCTGTTCTTGGAGTCTTTGATTCTAGCAGGCAACACTTAAGAGACTTTATTAAATGGGAGGAAAATTGAAAAATTATTTTGCAGGTAGGTGTGTGTGTTTTAAAAAGACATTTGGAGGAATAGACTAAGAATTATCTTCACCCCAAAAGAGAAATAGACAATGGTTTAGATCCTCCACTGTGTCTGATGCCTTGTCTAAATGCAGAGTTAATACATGGCCAGCTGGGGAGTGAATATACACCATAGTAACTGGCTGTATGGACCCTTCTGCTCCACTAGTGCACTTTGACCTACCTGCTGTTTCAGCAGTAGGTCAAAGCGCACTACACAACTTTTAGTGTGTGGTAGCAGGTTACACATGGCAACTTATTGCATGGCATGCTAGAGTGTGGTAGATTTATACCCCAGCTTGCCTTGCACTAATTCTCTGTATAGACAAGTTCTTAGACATGTTCCCTTGAAATTGGAGTTTCTAGGAACAAGTTTAGTCCCCATCATAACTTGAAGTAACTTTAGGGCTGATGTAAGTTACACCTGGCTGCCGACAGCCCCATAGTCCCCTTTTCTTCTGAGAACATCCCGAGCTAGGGGCTGGGAAAATAGGTCTTGTAGAGTAACTAACAGCTCTACACCACTCAGGAATTCCCCTTGCACACAGGGATTCCATAGGGAGCCAGATAAATTCCCTGTTTCACTGCTTTGTGCTGCAGAGCAAACCCAAAAATCAGGAGAAATAAGCTTCAGAAAAGCTAAGTAAATTATGTTAACTTTTTCTGTACTACTAGAAGACGACATGGGGAGACTTACAAATTTCGAACTGTCTGCAGTTCATGCACTGGGGCATTTGCACCGGGACATTTGCACCCTTGTTAATTCAACAATCAGGATGAAGTCTTAAATATCTATCTCCCAGGGCCGGCTCCAGGCACCAGCTTCTCAAGCAGGTGCTTGGGGCGGCCGTTCCGGACGGGGCGGCAGTTCCAGGTATTCGGCGGCAATTCGGCGGACGGTCCCTCACTCCGCCTGGGAGTGAAGGACCTCCCGCCGAATTGCCGCCGCAGATCGCGATCGCGGCTCTTTTTACATCGCAATCACGGCTTTTTTTTTTTTTTTTTTGGTTTTGGCTGCTTGGGGCGGCCAAAACCCTGGAGCCGGCCCTGCTATCTACACACACACACATCATGAAATTCCTTAGATTGAAGAACTCATTCACAGGGTGTAACATTGGTATCTTTTTGTCTGGCTTTTAGTTGTGTGTGGCTGGATACAAAAGAAAGAGGGTTGTTCTGGCATCTACCTCTGTCTTCTGCATCCAGCACAGAACAAATTAGTCTGTTCCCCACATCCCATTCAAAAAAAGGCAAAGGGACTGGAGTTTAAAATTCTAACCCACATTCTAGCTTAGATAACGTTAGGAATATTTCTTTATGTGAGGACTCATGTACAGTTCTATTCTATTTGTCTAAAATGAGTCAAGAGAAAGTTTCACAGGGCTGATTTAGTCCTATTACAAACATGGTATCAGCCCCACAACAAATTTACTGACCCACTCTTTACCAGGATGAAAATAAAAAACTGTACAAAAATTCAAACAGGAATAATGGAGCACATTTTCCAGGAGGTCACCATCACTACCCCCTCGAGGGGCCAACCACATGCTCTAGAGCAGTGGTTCTCCACTCTTTTTTGGCTCAGGACCCATTTGTAAACCTTGATGGTCTGTTGTGACCCAAAGACCTCCCAAAATGCCTCCAGACCTAATCCTGCCTCCCCGGGGGGCATGACAGAGGGACAGCTGGGCGAAACCTGAATGGTAATATGACCAGGTTGTAAAGCCCAGAGTGGGGAGCCAAGCCCAGCCAGCCCCGCAACACTTGGACACATACTAGCAAGCCAATTTTGAGTCGCAACCCATGGGTTGAGAAACCCTACTCTAGGGCAGTGATTCTCAGCCTGTGGGGTGGAACTGAGTAGGGAGTTGCAAGAGGCTGATCATTGGCTCACAGCAAAATCACCCCTGCTAGAGAGAGCGAGTGACAAGGTGGTGAGGTCATATCTTTTACTGGACCAACTTATGTTGTCTCTCTAATGTCCTGGGACCAACACGGCTACAAGAACACTGCAAGCAGAATAAAAAGTTCAGCCGGTCTAAAACTGGCAGGCAATAGGGCCCAAAGAGGACAAGCACTGGAGAGGGAAGGAGAAGTTTGCTCTCTTCTCCTGTTGACGCTATTCTGACCCACCGTAGCTATCCCTCACTTCCTTTGCACCCCACGCTCAATATTGCAGAAATTGCCTCTTCAAGATGCTGTGGAGTTGGCTGCCTGGACTCCACAGCCAGGCTGTTCATGCAGCTCACAGCATCTGGAAGCTGCACTTCTCCAAAACAGAGCAAATAGCAGGCAGTGGTTGGGAGAGAAGGGATGAGCTATAGCATCCTAGAACACACCATCCCTACCTTCTCCACCTTTCCCACCCAACATCACTCATTCCCTCACCCAGCAGCACCCCCCACCCATAGTGGTTATCTGTTGAAAACTCAGGAGTCATGGAAAGAAACTGTTAGGGTGGAGAACCACAGATACAGAGGAACAAGGACAGGGCTGGAACCATTAAAATTCTATTTCTGCCTCTAAGGGTCCTTAATATTTTGCTCTTACATAGCAATTTATAAACATTCTTTAGTTAGGTCTTACAAGACCCCTATATAGGAGGTAAATTATTATTCACCTTTGTTATATCTGGGTAAACAGAAGACTTGCAAGAATCAAGGTTACAAAGTAAGTCAACATCAGACCCAGGATTTCAACTCAAGGCTGGCTCTCAGGCCCCTGCCTATTTGAGTAGACCACACGGAGACCAGGAAAGATCAATTAACCTCTCTGTGTCTGTTATCCTGATCTGTAAATAGTAAAATCTGAATGTAAACAAGGTTTACGCTGTCCATAGCCTTTTCAATGTAGGTAGGTAGGTAAATGCGATCATTCTCACTGTACAACAGAATGGGAAAACAGACACCAAAAACTGAAACACTTCCCTGAGACAATCTATGCTCAAGGAGGCAGCTCCTTCTGCTGAGATTTTTGCAATCTTCCTCAATAAATTAACAAATTTTTGCTATTTTCCCCTGCTTGAATTTTCACACACCTCTCTCAGCTCATGCAAGGTATTTCACAAAATAGCTGCTATTTTGCTGATTTCGCAAACTCAAATGCTGGCAAATTTAATCAAAACTAATCAAACAAGTGTTCCAACAACTTCTCAGGCCTTATATACTGATCTACTTGCAAATATCCTCCTTGTCTGTTATTAGTTAAAGGTGCCTGACTGTGCTATAGCTGAGAATTAGGCAGTAAGTAGTTTGATTTTATTTTTATTTTTTTGTTTTTGCTTTTGTGTGTTTTCAAATGCACACTATTGTATTAGCTGCACTATTCATACATCACACTATGATGCTAAATGTAATAAGTGGGACTATCAACGTTCGTCTTCCCTTCACATCGTTCAGTTCTGCAACCAATTACCTGTGGAAACTGGCCTTGGTCTGGACCTGGCAGGAGTTCCAGAAATGTCCGTGCTAGCCTTGATTCGACATCCATCACTGACATAGACTCCCTGGTGCTGGAACTTAGTGGTGTGCACAGTGGTTTCGTCTGCAGACTTGGGCCGATAATCAAAGACACTGAGCCGTGTTTTGGGCTGCTGACAGCTCGGCAACAGACTGGTGTGGGAGGAGGATATGGACTCACTGTACACAGATGTGCAAGAGTTGGATAGTGAGCAGGAACCACCATCGCTCAGGTCGTAAAAGCCTGTAGAGTTCAAATAAATACAAAAATCTTTCTGGCTTACAGTGAATAAATAGGGCCCTACCAAATTCTTGGCCATGAAAAATGCATCACGGACCATGAAATCTGGTCTCTCCCCGTGAAATCTGGTCTTTTGTGTGCTTTTAGCCTGTACAGTACAGATTTCATGGGGGAAAACCAGCGTTTCTCAAATTGGGGGGCGTGACCCAAAAGGGAGTTGCAGGGGGGGTTGCAAACTTATTTTAGGGGGCGTCACGGTATTGCCACCCATACTTCTGTGCTGCCTTCAGAGCTGGGCAGCTGGAGAGCGATGGCTGTTGGTTGGATGCCCAGCTCTGAAGGCAGTGCCCTGCCAGCAGCAGCACAGAAGTAAGGGTGGCAATAACATACCAGGCCATCCTTATTTCTGCGCTGCTGCTGCTGGTGGCTCTGCCTTCAGAACTGGTCTCCCTGCCAGCAGCCGCCGCTCTCCAGCTGCCCAGCTCTGAAGGCAACACCATCGCCAGCAGCAGTGCAGAAGTAAGGGTAGCAGTATTGCAACCCACCCCCGCTACAATAACCTTGCGACATCCCCGTCCCACCACTCCTTTTTGGGTCAGGGTCCTTACAATTATAACACCGTGAAATTTCAGATTTAAATAGCTGAAATCATGAAATTTACAATTTTTAAAATCCTATGACCATGACATTGACCAAAATGGACCGTGAATTTGGTAGGGCCCTATGAATAAACAATAAATCCTCTTTGCCATTTGCTACAGTGGTAAATTCATGATCACTGGGTTTTTTGATTGAGATTGGATGTCCTTCTACAAGATGCACTCCAGTTCAACCACAGTTTATTGGGTTTGATCTATTCACTTTGGGCCCTCAACCAGCATAACAAGCGAGCACACACTTAACTTTAAGCACATGATCATGTTTAACCAGCTTGAAGTTCAAATGAGAGATGAGCCTTTTGATAATCTATTCCTATGTCTTTCCCCCCACCCCGAAAAATAACAGCATAAACTTTCAAATGCAACTAGTGACTGAGTGTCTCAGTTTTTGGCTATCCAACTGAGGCAGCTTAAAAGAGTCTCATTTTCAGAGCGTGGTGCTCAGCACTTTCTGAAAATAAGGCACCTTTGATGGGTCTCAAATTGGGTAGCCAAAAACAGAGGACCCAAAATCCTAACTGTACCTGAAGAGAAGGAAAGATGGAAAGGTGCCTATTTTCTGCTCAGCTCTCAGACAGCACTACAGAAAAATATTAATTGCAGGCATTTTTAATGTGCACAATTTAAAATATCCCAATATTTTCCATTTCACACAAGAGATATTTATGTTTAATTAATGCACTGAGTTTCATTTAGCAGTTCCATACCTGCAGAAGGGAGGGAGGGAGCTGCATCCTGAGAAGCAGTGACTCTGGAAAGAATTTAGGGGTCATAGTGAACAAGCAACTGAACATGAGCTCCCAGTGCGATGCTATGGCAAAAAGGGCCAATGGGATCCTTGGATGTATAAAGAAGTGGATAGGAGAAGAGAGGTTGATTTTACCTCTGTATGGCATTGGTGTGACTGGTACTGGAACACGGCATCCAGACCTGGTGGCCACATTTTTAAAAAGGATGTTGAAAAATTGGAGAGGGTTCAGAAAAGAGTCACAAATACAGTTTGAGAGCTGGAGAAAATTCCTTACAGTGAAAAGAGCTCATCAAAAAGATTGAGAGGTGACTTGATTAGAGTATGAGTACCTTGAGAGGGAGAAAATACTAGACTATAATGGGTCTTTAATTTAGCAGAGAAGAGCATAACAAGAACCAGTGGCAGGAAGCTGAAGCCAGACAAATTCAAATTAGAAGTCAGATACAAATCATTAGCAGTGAGGGTGACTGACTGCTGGAATAAACCACCAAAGGAAGTGGTAGATTCTCCATCTCTGAATGTCTTCCAGTCAAGACTGGATGCCTTTCTGAAAGATATTCGTTAGCCAAACACAAGTTATTAGGCTCAATACAGGGGGAATCAGGTGAAATTGAATGGCCTGTGCTGTATAGGAAGTCAGACTAGATGACCTAATGGTTCCTTCTGGTTTTAAACTCTATGAGTCTATGAATTCATACAAATTCCACTAGAACCATAATAAATAAATTGTCAAGAGTGCATTACCTGAGCTGGGTCTGCTGTCACTGTCGAGGTATTCGCTAGAGGACTTCCTGACATCCAGCTTCAGTTCACTTATTTGCTGGTCCAGCTGATCCAGGTGACTTTTCAAGCCAACATCCTGTCTCCTTAAACGTGACTATTCACAGGTCATGGAAAGAAGGGGGAAATAAAGAATAGTCATAGTTAGGATCTCAGGGCTATATAGTGAATTTGCCATGTATATTAGCCAAATTATGTACTCCTGAAGCAAAAGTACCACTGAGAGTTTTGCTCAGCTAAGGACTACAGTAATTGGCTAATGTAATGACTCTGAAATCTGACATAAGTATAAAACACTCTGCTTCTCAGAATATCCTGTATTCTGCCTACCTACCCTAAACATTTTCTGTGTACTTTCACACTGAAAAAGTTATTCTTCTCTTCCTTTTCTGTAACACACTGGGACTGATCCAACTTCCTCTGATGTCAATGGGAAACTTTACACTGATTCCAGTGGGGTTGCATTGGGTCCACTGTGTAATTGTGTTGATATAGAATGGTAACAACATCTCCTACATTCCACCTCAGAAGGGTCTGCTGCATCTTAGGCCATGTCTACACTAATGAGCTTACACCAACACAGATGTATCAATGCAGCTGCGACACTGTAAGATTGCTCATGTGGCCACTCTTCCCGTCGACATAATAAAACCACATCCCCGCCGGCGGGAGCTCTCACGCAGACATAGTGCTGTCCACACCAGCGCTTCAATCGGTGTAACTTATGTCGCTCAGGGGGCTGTTTTGTTCACACCCTGGAGTGACACAAGTTATACCAACAAAAGTGGTAGTATAGACATGGCCTTAGTGGAGGATAAGCGATACGTACAGTCTGTAAGAACACTTTATCCTTCACGATGAATGGACACTATAGAAAGTAAATTTATCTTATTATCACACAGGGCACAGCAAGCATATTTGGTTTGCTTACAAGACCCGAGCTTTGAAGACATTTCTCTATAGTTATAGGAGTATAAAACAAAACCAATGAGTTCAGGATCCCAAAACCATGAAGTTGGCTTAAAAATCATGAGATTTAAATATATATATATATATATATGGGGTTATTTTTATTTGGCTTCTGGTTTTTGAACCTTTAGGGTTCATGTTTTCAGGCTTTTCTCCACAACCATGAGAGCTAAAAACTTAAGCAAACAACAACAACAAAAACTGATGCTGACATTCTGATGTAATTCCAAGGTGCCAGGAGCTGGAGCTTTTATGAGACTCAGAATAAAATTGTAAGAGCTGGCAACATTGCTAAGGGACTGAAAAGATCTCTCCAGCCTGCTCTGGAATCCTAAAGAACTGGATGAAACTTGTAAGGCACAAGAAGTGTGAGGCCCTTTATTAGTGCCATATGTACAAGAAAGCTTAGGCACGAGCCAACAACTGCTTCCTAACAAAACAGGGGGGAGGGGTTTTGTTCTTCCTGTCACAAAAGAAATGTTAAGGTTAGAACTAAATAGTAAAGAACAACTTCTTCTCCATCTCATGATGAATACTTACCTTTTCAACTCTCCTTTAGTTTTTTTTAATTGTTTGAGGAAACCAAACATGTTGTGCCTCCCTGGGTCCCCCCATTCAGGAAATCACAAAGTTTTGTTTGGATGGCTGGAATTAATTGCTTAATGATTAATGTTTTGCCAGCCAATCCCTCAGTCTGTGATTTCTGTTTCTGATTAATGGCAGAGAGGCCACAAAGTGTTCAACAAGGCTCTCAGATATTCAGAGATTATTTATTACACCCTTGAGCTTTCGCTTTAACCAATATGCATGAGTTACATCATCCTTGTTAACCCTTTCCCATTGTCCCCCACTACGGGGTTTTCATGTTTTTCTGGGAGACTCCATACTGTTCATTAACTCCTTCTAGGCTTCAAGAGAACAAGTGCTCCTTAAATTATTCAGATAACTCAGACTATTTTTTAAAAAAAAGCAGCAAGCAGCACCCTGAACAATAAATCCTAAACTCAAGGTTTCTCAGTTCACAAAATGAATTTTTCATGAAGCAGAATGAAACCATCTATTTGCTTTGAGGCGTGCAGATGTGAAGATATATTTACTCTGAGGCGTACAGATGTGAAGAAGTCTGCAGTACACTGCTTGCATGGGCAACTGGGACACAATTTTCACAAGCAACTAGTGTTCTTGATGGCCTCAGTTTTTGGGTGCCCAATTTGAGACCCTTAAAGGAGCCTGATTCGCAGAAGGCAGGTGGGCACACCAAACTGAGGCACTGAAAATCACTAGTCACCTTTGAAAAATCTTGGCCAATCATTTAGGGCCCAGTATTGCAGCTTTGAAGTGATGGAGGCTTTACTGTTGACTTTAGGCTCTGACAGTACGCATTACTTCATCTGATTTCTGGTACACATCAAATTTTTTTTTTTTAAGTTTCCCTCTCTCTCCCATATAAAACCAGAGAGATAATGACAATCTGAAGTGTATAGAATCTGTCAAGACCCAAGAGATTGGAATGTCTTTTCTCTTGACATTTCAGCATAAACCTACATGACCCTTCACCACATTTTCATAATCTGATAATTCATTTGGAACTAGACGATGCAAAATAATTGCACTCAATTGACTTCATTTTATAAATAATATTATTTGGGGAAACATTTGAGAAATAGTGGGTGATATTGCCTTGAATTTCTGCCCATTCACATACCTAAAGAACCTCAGAATTACTTATTTTTACAAAGTTTGAGTACCTTCTTTCCTCTTCCTTCTACCCAATGCTACCAAAATGTCATCTCAGGAAACTAGATTAGCTTTCTTAATAGTCAGTGCAACTAGGTAGTGCCACTCAATGTTGCTTCCCTTCACCATCTCTGCAATGAGAGTCTCATCCTATCTCCACTGTTACAATTACTGGGGATGGAGAGGAGGGATCCAACCTGACATGGTTTGCTCTTGCTATGAAGAAGACACCCAACTGTGTCCCTGAACAAGGCTACAACCCTGCTAAAGTCCAAAGGCTGTAGTGCAGTTCAGGAATATGCTTAAAGCTTGGTTTCACCTACACTGCAAGACCAACCCATGTTTAACCATTCCTATCTTGTATCTGAGTCTTCCAACTTAAGAGCTGTTTAGGGGAGGGGAAGAACTTTTCCCCTATGTTGTGTTTGCCAATCTGGGACCTGGAAATCTAGACTCCACCATAGATTAATTAGAAGTGGTGTGTCGCTTACTCAACACATGGCACAATCCAATTTCTGTGAAAAACCTAACTCTATATAGCCTTTCTTGTGCCTTTTGGCATCATCCCCCAGGAAAAAGTATCTCTACTTATTTCCCATGACTGCAGTGACACCTCCTGGTGAAAGCAGTCCTTTTCCAAGGGTGAACTAGGACAATACATTTCTCATGATTCCTGCAGCTATATCTGCTTTTTATTTCAAAACTAGAATTTTATGGTCTAGTTTGCCTCACCCTGTTGAAAGCATAATTAATAGCCAGACAAGTCCTGATAAAACTAATCTCCCACTTTCATGTCTTATTTGGAAAATATATAAACAAATGTGTAATTACAGCACAACACCTTGTGTCAAACACCAATGGATCACTTTGGTCAGAGGTCACTAAGTGTTTATATTAACTCAGTGGGCTTGAGCAGGCAATAAATGTTTTAAATCATCTTTTCTTTTTTGTTAAAAACATAAAGTGCAGTCATTAGTTAAAATTATCAATGACAGGTAATCAAGTGGTTGGCAGTACACTTGTGCTGCAATTTTGACTTTAATCAAGATATGCTTGCTGCTGTGTTTTCACAAGTGGTGCTTAGATTCCCTGAAGGTTAAAGCCAATTTTCACTCTGAGATTCTGTCTGATAAAACTGCCTACACTTAATGAATATCCTTTCTGTTTTCACACCTGATTGATAACTGATGACCAAGTCTAACACCAATATGGGGAGGGAGAGAGCTCTGAATTAACTTTGAGCTTACTGATGTGTGTAATTGCCAGTACTAGAGAGATTAAAGCCTCTAGCCTTTGATTGTATTCTTTCTTATGAAACTAGTTTCAGTCCTAATTTAGATTTTTTTTCCTTCCACAAAAATGTACAAGTGTTAAATGCAAGGCTGATGTCAAACAAATTCAATTATTTCCCTCTTTTGATCAGGCAATCCATTCCAGAACAAAGTATTTAAGGGATACAAGCCAGAAGTTTTCCTGATCCTTCCTCCTCCCTTACTCCCCCACATATATACATTAGAAAAAGTTTGATCTTCAGCTCTAAATGGTTACTTATACTGATATGTACACTACTTAAATCAAGTTAATCATCAGCTTTATTCCTTGTCCTATTAAAAAACAGTTCAGGTTAGAGCATTCAGCATTTTGTCTAGCACATGACATGTACTTTAGTCTGATGAAAATGCACTCAGTAAAAACCGTAACCAAATCTTATTAAATAAAAAAAAACCTTATAATAGTGTCTGTAGTCATGAATTCTGAAACTGAATGTACCAGTGCCCATATATTATGACTGGCATGTAGGAAGGCTGTCAGTGCTGATTAATACTGCCTGTTGTGTAGTTTTAGTGATGTCTTCGCAAAATTATTTCCCTCAAAAGACATAGCTACATTTTCTACCTGACACTTAAAGATGCTTGTGCAGTGCTTCTAAATAATTAAGCACAGATTTCCTTCAAATGCATATTCAGACATGTAAAAGAGCCTACGTCTATCAAGTGGTCAATCACTGCTCTAAACAAAGCTCCCACTTCTCCGAAAACAAGACTTTTAGAGCCGATTTCCAGTTTTGTTAATTCTCCCCTGTTACAAGTTGACGTCGGTAGATTTGTGTACTTAGGTACTACTCTATTTAAATAATAAACATATAAAACAAACAAAATTACATACCACATAGAATAAGATGGGAATTGGTATGTTGTGTAGACAAAGTGTCTTTGACATACTTAGCCAAAACATACATTTTATGTGCAAAAGAACTAGATTCAATGCCAAACTACAGAAATAGGCTGTAAATCATTTGGCAGAAATGAATAGCTGCAGCCACTATTCTTATTTCAAGCAGGCTAAATTACAGTAAATCAAAATTTATAATATTTTATAATCAATAAAAGGTAAAACAGACGTTAATTTCAGGCACAAATACCAGTGTCTTGGAAATCACTCATCCTTCATTCCTACCATTTTGCCCCAGATAATCGTTTTCACACTGGACAATCCACTCACACTTTTTTATAATAAACTTGAAATGTCCAAATGTGTGGAGTAACCAAATACAAAACTTGCTCAAATCATCTGATACAGACAGGAAATGTTACTTTAAAAAAACCCAGGAGCATCGTGATGTGAAGGGGGGGAAATCATTTTTCTGTTGCATTGCACAGTGGCAAAGATTTTTCTCTCACATCACACGTTAGGATAGAGTTATGAATGGAACAAGTTAAAAGACAGCAGCGAGTGAATCCACAAATGTGCGCTTGTGCATGAGCGCGTGTTTCTACCGCTGTGGGGACTAAATACTGTACAGACACAGCCTGTTTACTGAGCCAGTCTGTGTTTCAGTTTGTTCTCCTCGTCGGAGTTCTAATCTACCCTCTATAGGTGGGTATGATAGATGGAGAGAAATAGTTACACACACACGCTTAGCCTGCACTCTGCCCCCAGACACAAAACACACGCTCGGCGTCTCCGATGATTAACGCCGTATTCTAGAGAAAACATCTGGCCGAACAGCTGGGCGGTTCGCTGCCGTGGCGCCTCAGCCCTTACCAGTTGTTCCTTCAAGGCAGTCAGCGTGGCCTCCAGCCTGTGCTCCTTGCTACGCGCCGGGTCCCCTCGGGCTGCCGGCTGCTGCTGCATGGCCAGGGCTCCGCTCACCAGCGTCCGCTGCTTCTCCCGCAGCACCTGGAGCTCCTGGAGGCCGGCCAGGGCCGCGTGCAGCCTCTCCCCGACCCTGCAGCGATCCCAGCCGCCCGGCCGGTGCTGCTGGCTCTCCCCCAGCATCTTTAGAGGCTGGCACCCGCCCGGGCCATGGCAATGGGCTAGCAGCGAGGGGGGCGGGCTGCGCTGGGGCTGGGCCGGAGCTGCTCGCCCTCTCCCGGCTGCTGGCACTGGAGCAGAGGGAGTGCTGCGGAGCCACTGCGGCTCCTGCGGTTTTGGAGAAGGGGGAAGGGGCGGGAGGCAGAGGGGAGGGCTGTGCCTATGGTCTGCGCCCTGGGGCCACCTATCTGCGTGGATAGAGGTGGATCGTCCTCCTTTCCCTCCTCCCCCGCCCCTTCCGCAACTCCCCTCCCCTTGCCAGGAGGCGGCTGGTGGGGCTGGGTGGTGCGGGTGACTGACTGATGAGCCTTCTTTGGGCAAGGGCAAATCCAGCCCCCGAGGTTACGTCTTGCTCTGTCCTCCCCGACCCTGGGGAAACGGACCCCAGCAAGAGAGGGAGAACTTCTCTGCGCCGTCTTGTGGCCCACGCGTCCCCACGCGTGGAGGCTGCATAAATCCGGCAGCAAAGTGATTACAGGAGGCTTCGTGCAGCCTTAATCCCAAGGAGTTTTAGTTCAAAATACAGTAAAAGCCTGGAATGCGGGGCGGGGGGAGGTGCAGGAAGGGCTGAGGCTCAGCTGTTTTACATTACACAGCGAGCAGCTTTCTGGATATACACGTTTTCTTACCTCCTTACCAGGGGCCAAATTCTCCACTGATTGCTGGGTCAACCCGTCTGAAGTCAGAGGGCCAAAATTCTGATCTCACTTACACCACTGTACATCTGCCAGTAACTCCACTAAAACCAATGGTATTATCCTGGATTTACACCAGTGTGAGGTCGGAATTTGGTCCATTGAGGTCTCACACAGTGTAAAGTTAGTTATATCCATATGTACAATTTCATATACAAACTACACATTTTGTAACTTCATCTCTCTCTCTTTCTCACTCTCACCCACGATCTGCTGCCCTCTCCCATCCCTCAGATGGAGATTAGGCAACACTCTAAAACTGCACTCAAAGTTGCAATAACAGTGCTTGCGCCATGGTCACCCAGATAGGGTGCCAGAGACTTATGTGCAAGCAGCTGATGTGGCTGGCTTGCATGTCTCAACCCAGAAAAGGTCATATGGAGGGTTGAGGGTATGTGGTAAATGGTGCCTGAAAGCACAGCTGACAGTGGAAACCTAACACAACAAAGCCGTTGCTACGCAGAAATGTCTACACTTTCAATTTCAAACACAGGCAGCCGCATGCAGGAATCCTAGAAGATATTTGGTCAGCAGACAGCAAGGTTAATACACAGGCCAGAGCCGTGTAGAGGAAGAAAAGAAGCACTGATGCTATAGGGGTCCGATGAACACAATGGACATAGATGAGGCACACTGCAGGAAACAAATTTCCTACTGCTGCCACTAGGATATGAATCATTGCTACCGTAGCCATCAGTCGCCCAGATCTCAGGTGCGGAGATCACTGTGTGCTGCATTCAAAATACTTGAGATCGGTTCAGCAAGGGCATATGCTTCCTCAAAGCAGCAAATAAGGCATCTAGTACCAGGCTAACAGAGACACTCACCAGCTGCCCATGCTTCCCCTCTTCAGGTTCTGTGGCATACTCTCTAAAGCAATCTTGCTTTACTTTGAGTATCAAATTGCCCTTGTCCCAAGTACATTGCTGTGATGGGAACATGCTGCACTGGCAACCATTCCTCACACATGTTCCTTTCACTATCTTTTTTGGTTGGTCATGTCCCCCTCATTGGTTGCATCTATTCTACACTAACAATTTTTGGGGAAAATCCATCTAGTTTCAGCAATGACAGGAGCACTAATGTAGGCAGGACATAGGGCCTGCTCAGATCACGTGTAGAACTGATGGTGGTAAAAATTCTGGTCTACACTTGTGCCTCTGCCATTACTACCCTTTGTAGAACTACGTTGCTGGTAATAAGGCAGAGGGTGATTTCCTGAAAAATGCTAAGGTAGGCAAGGGTATTGGCTTAATCTGTGTTACACACAGAACCATACTGGGATACCTGGTTATAATATGGCTGTTCCCTGACCCAGTTGCAGCAAACTACTATTTTGTAGTTCAAATGGGATCGATCCTTATTTTCACTATGCCTCCATCTAAGGCTTTCCCATGAATATGGTTATGCTATTACACTACAAAATAGAGCTATGCTGTAACTGGTTCAGGGATGGAAACACTCTAACCAGATCTCCCAACATGGCTCTACTTGTAATACAGATGCCACCCTTCCACGTGGGTACAATTCCCATTCACAGCATTATTGCACATTCCTAAAGGACTAACTGGGTATGCAAGAGGGTGGTCAATAGGGTACCTTGCACAAGCTTTATCCACTCTTTCATGAACATCAGTTTTCTTTTCTCACTGAACCCCTGGTGTGCAGAGCTCAGCAACCAGGATGATTAGGCCCTGACTGTCAACAGACACAGCTGGTAGAAAGTGAAACCAACATCGGAACAGAACTACTCTTGATGTGTGCAGACTAACAACATGAAAGGTTGCCACCTCTGGGGTGGAAGGTGGCAACAAACCGGTGCACAACATGCTGTTAGATTCCTGCAAAATGCCATGAAACACATAAGATAACTATGTGTTTTTGAAATTCACTTGGCTTAGCACATATTAAAATAGACATGCAGTACAGATTATTTTATTCAAACCCCACACAAGTCAGTCATACACCACTATTTATGCTATATATTAATATAGACTTAGATTATGTAACGTCACATTTTTCTTTCTTTCTTTCACAGAGAGCTATTATTCTTTGCTCTTTGTTCTTCCCTTTTCTTTCATCTTTTTATCTTCCCCTACATTCAGTCCCAAATGAGGCATATCTCAGTGCTATCTTTATCCTAACCAGCTTCCTGATTATCTCCTTGGTTGTATTGATTACTTTCTTCCCCAGAACCTTTGAAGATGCCACTTAATCTTTTTTGACTAACTCAACAAATAGCTTGTTGTAATCTATTATCTATTACTAGATGAGAGACAGAGGTGTGACCCCCTGCAAAAATTCAAACCATAAAATTGGAGGTGGAAAAGAAATGATGGTGGGAAAAAGGTTCATACTGATGAACTATACAACTTTCACTGTACTGTACTTAGCACTGGATGAAAACAAAAGGGACATTAAAGCAAAATACTTGGTTTTGCTGACCAGCATTAGTACACAGAATCCTGCAGCACTGAATACTACGTTTGCTTTTGATTTCCAGTAGATTTAGCACCTGGGTCTCCTTCTACCGATGTCAGTGTAACTCCATGGATTTCAAAGGCATAACTCCTGATTTATACCTGTGTGAGTGAGAAAGAATCAGCCCCAAACTTTCCAATATACAGTTTCGGTGATCACTTAATAAGTAGCTATGAAGTATTTTGTTTTAGTCTCATCCTTCGGTAGTCCCATGCCTCATTTACTGCACACTATTCAAATCCCACTCTGAAGACAGATTTATTAATTTCCTTGTGAGCTTCTTTATAGTATTTAGCACTGTGGCATTTGAGTGCTTCATAAGCATGAATTAATAAGTTTTCACAATACCCCTGTGAGGTGAGGGGTATTATTATCCTCATCTTAGAGATGGGGAACTGAGGTAAAGAGAAAGGTCAAAAGTATTCCCTAATTTTGAGTGCCCAATTGGAAATGCCTACCGCCTGATTTTTTTTAGAGTACATATCATTAGATAACTCTTCATGTGTCCAAAGTCCTGCTCCTATTGACTTCAGTTGCAGTTGTGAGTCCTCAGCATTTCTATAAATTGGATCCCAGGTGAGAGCAGCAGAATGTAGATAGACTCCAGGGTTGAATTCTAAGCCCTGGATAGTAGTGCTCCCTAGTGTTATAGGCCCTTCTGTTCTAGTGCCCCTTGCCTGTCTCTAGCTCACTCTACTCTACTCCACTACTCAGCCCACCCTGACCCCTGTCCCCTTTCTCCTCCTATACACTCGCCTTAGTGGCTGTTGTCCCCCCACTCTGGCTCCTGCAACCCCCTCCCCACCAATTCTCACTTCTCTTCATTCCAGATGGTGGGGCAGCTTCCTCCTTTTCCTCCTCATGTCCTGGACGTCAGCAGGGGGAGTATTGAGAGCACAATTGTGACAGTCTCCCAGCTCTCAGTTCTGGTGCCCCATGGCAGGACAGACTTAGTGCAGCCCTGAGGAGCAATTGCAGATATAGTCCTGTTCAGCTCATAGAGCCCTGGAATAGAGGGTCCTGGCGAGATGGAGCATGGCATGGGCTATCCAGTCAGCACATAGGAGCTGGGCGGGGCTGAAGCATACTCAGTTGGAAGTGCTATAGCATCTCAATCAGAAGGTTGTAAGAATTGTTTTAATAACATTTTCTGTAACCTTGTTCTTGGAACCATTTTAGGTGACACTTTCTAAAGAAACTCAGCCTGAGGCAGACACCTGGCATAGAAAATTTCAGTCCAAACAGATACAGTTTGGCAAAGTTATAAGCAACTGAAAACAGGGTCCTATAATGGGAAGTGTTGGACAACCTTAACTATAAGCGGTGCTACCAGTGCCACCTCTAATTATGTAGGCAGAAGCTAGAACTGAACCATGTTTTGATGCCAGAACCAAGTTTCAAATATTTTTGTGGAGTTCCATTATTTTAAAATGGTGCAGTCACTGTAGCAGACATATATGCTAGTACTGTACTCCTCTGTCTAGGGAATTATTGTATAGCCTGAACTGTCAGGAACATGGACTCAATTATCTATGAAGTCAACCTTGATACCTCAACCACAAAGCTCAGGGCTACTTCAAGCAAATCTGGGGCTCCCTGCATAACTATTCAGCTGAGCCCCTTCGCTGCAAGGGCTAAGCTTCAGTGTGCAATATTCTCCCCACTACCTGCCTCAAATTTCTATGGCATGCAGGCTTTGAGTCAGTTCCACTGCAGGCAGGCAGGGAGGATAGGTGATGCGACTAGGACTAGTTTGTGGATGAGCTACTGTGTCATGACTGAGAGATATTTGGAGACAAGAACTTGAGTCCCCTGGCACACCAGATAGAGTGGATATAGATTTTTGCTCAGATGGGGAGGAGAGAACCCATGAGATGCCCCAGCCTGGGC